TGTGATTATTCACATTATGGCTAGTTGGGAGATTTTATTGTTTACCATAGTAGCAGCTTCAGAAATTCTCCTGTTCTGAAAGTTATTCTGCCACAGTTTCCAATCAATGGAGCATGAAGCTTCTGCAAGTAGACTGGCTTGGAGGAAGTCTGGGGAGGACAATTTAAGTACACTGATCTTTATTTCAACTTGCAAAATACAGTGGATTTATTTTTCTGGGAACCTAGATCAGCCTTAGCCCTAATGCTGACATTCATTATTTACAACAAGCAACTTTGCAATGAGGATATAATTGGTTGTATATTATTCCCTTTGGGCCAACTGGCAGTAGTACTCTGTTAACACAGTTCTATATGACTCTTAGAGATGACCTTCAGTGAATTCAAGTGGGATTTACTCTGAAGTAAATATGTCGGGGATTATGGATTATTGGCTATGCAGTACTTCAGATTTAATCTCCAAAAGGTATTTGGGAATGTGAAGGTACCACCTATGTGTAACACTTTAAATCAGTTGCATTTTTTTCCAGGATGTTTAAGTTGTAAACAGAGACATCCATGTGCTCTGAAGCACTTTTTGGAAACCATATGGAAATAGCTGCATGGCTCTGTAAACCATATGGAGCCTGAGCAGTATTAGCACAAACTACACTGAAGGACAATAATAAGTTACCCTTCTCGGTCCTGGAGTTTTCTAAACACTTTTTACAACTTTGGGTACCTTCTTCTATTTTTGGAACCATTTCTCTCTAGGCTGGCTCTTTATAGTTTCTGTATAGTCATATCTCTCTTCATTACAATTAAGAGAGGGGCAAAGTTGGATAAGATCACAGCTTATGGATAAGGAAGAGTTTTCTTTTTCCCCCTCAACTCTGATTCTTCAATAGAAAATGCCCCACCACGCAGCTGCTACTATTTATGGAAAGAGCTTTGACTCTTCCCCCATCAATCTCTTTGTATCTTTCCTTCTGTGAAATCTTCTGCTTCTTCTTTGAGCATGGAATGGTAGATTGTGCCATTTTGGCTGTAAAAGAGTTGGCACTCACTCTGAAACTTCATACTGGAGGAAAGATTGGAAAATGTAAGGTTAGGAATATAAGAAGCTGCTTTATACTAGGTAGTGTATTTGCCCACTTAGCTAGTCTTGTCTACTCTGGTCAGCCATGGCTTTCTGGTCAGCAAAAGTCTTTCCCAGCATGTGCTGGAGACACCATGGATGGACTTTCTGCATATAAAGCATGTGCTCTTCCACTGAGTTATGGGTACTGTATACCCATCTATTTCACAGATGCAAAAAAAAAAAAAAAAGATGAATTCTTCTCTTTGCTTACATTAGTAATTTCACAATTTTTCTAATGTAAGCAAAAAGAGGATCACAATTAATCTTTTCTGCATCTGTGGAAATTATATAGCAACGTTAAATTTCTCAATAAATATTAGTCCCTTTTCCCAGTATGAATAGGGACGCAACATGGTATGATTCTAAAATAACAACTTTGTTTCTGGGTGGTATTGCCTCTGGCTGTTGTTCAGTAGGCAGGAATGAAGGAAAAAGAAATGTGCCTGCTCAGAAGAGCCTTTGCTGTAAATGCTACAAGTCACGGATTAGTAACAGACACAAGGGAAAAGGAAACTAGAAATGTATATCAAGGGATTTTTGTAAATATCAGAATGTACTTGTTAGATTAATAACATAGCATGCAGTTCCTTTTCTACTTATTCTTTACTCCAGTGTTAACAAACAGGGCCCAGATCTAGGTCTGAACCCCCATTTGTGCAAAGATGAGTGCTCATTGTTTCCTCCCCAACTGTTTTCCCCATGAAATATGGCACTACTCTGGAGCAGTAGTTTAAAAGAGAGAGAGAAAGAAAGCTTCTATTGTGCCATTGAAAGCTTTTTTAAAAACTTGCAAATTTCAGGAGAGACATGATCAGAGAGGAGAGGATTAGATCTACATGCTGCATGGATAACAATAGGAGGTTATCTGACCCACAGTCAGACTTCACATTTTGCACCCAGGCTAGATAATGTCCATATTCGTATGCTGAACACACTAAGAATGTTGTAAAAACTTCTATCATGTTTTATTGTTTTTTATTTGTAAGCCGCCTACAGTCACTTATACAGTGAGATGCGTGGCGTATAAATTTGATTAATAAAACAAAAATAAATGTGCTGCAACAAATATGAACTGCTATATAAATATGATAAATAAATAAATGTCACAAAAGGGACTTTTTGCATAGTGCCCATTGGTGCTACTTACTTGCCTTCTCACTTTATTAGAAAATGTTTAAACATAGTTCTGAGACAAATGAGAATGGGCTGAATATCTAGAAAGTAGTTGCAATCATATAAATGGGAAATCCACTGGGCACTGTCATGGCCTTACAATCAACTTTTGAGGTTTTCCTTTTCTGCTGTTCAGGCTTTCTGTTCCCAGCAGAATCTGACTTAAAATACCCAAACACTTTCATTCTGAGAGTGGGTGTGGCTCGACCTATAGCATCGTGGTCTTCATCATCTGACGTTTTTTTCCAGCAAGATTTTCGTTTACCACACATGAAACTTTCTTTGACTGCTGCTCTCATTGCAATATCCCCTTCTACTGTTCTGCTACAATCACAGCCTTTCGGAGGATGAGTCACAAAACCTTAATATAGTGAGCTGGCTATTTAGAAAGTAAGTTTGTACTCTCAGTTGGAAGAACATGGTCAGTGAGCTGGAAACTTCTCCCTGGCAGCAAAGGTAGCTCATGTATATACAAAATGGAGGACAATATGTACCCCCCAACTCTGTCAAGGCCCTCCCATTAACATTTCTCTTGGCTCCAGTCCCCTAAAGTTCTTTTAGCATTGCCAAGGAACAACTGTTCAATCAGACATAGCAAATGATGGACCATTGCTGTGCTTTTCAATACCAGCCTTGCCAGCATATGGTGTTGCTGCTGGAGTACAGCTGTTGAGCTGCTAAAAGGCATTTGGACAGCCAGTTCAGAAGCAGAATGCTGGAAGGAGGCAACTGACTTGGCTGAGGCTATCAGATGGATGCAGGAAATAAATCGAGCCACATCTATGACCCCTCCATTTGTTAGTGAACATGATGAATACAAAGACAAATGAATGCAGCTGAGACACAAATGTATCCCTCCTCCCTGCCCTTAAAAAGTAGGAAAGGAACAAGAGAGAAAGAATGAGATGCAAGGCTATATTTTCACTTAAGATGGTGGTTCAGCAGGTGGTGTCCTCTGCATAAAAAGCCACAGTCACTGCTGGGTGAAAAGACTAATAGTCAGGACAGGGACCATGGGGTAAGAGACTTGTCTGGATGACCACTTCTTAATTGTCCATTATCAAATATTGATTTAAGTGAAAAATGTACTTATATACCTATGTTAATATACTACAATATTCTTTGGTAATGAATATGAGAAAGATTATTTGATCAATATATGAGTAGGTCATTGGCAAAATATTTTTTGCCTAATCACAGCCCCAACCCTGCTATCTGCGAAGCTTGCCTTCTTGAGTTGATGTCTTCAGCCTGGCCACTTGCAAAATTCTATGTGTTCTTGATTGGGGGTGGGGTGATACAAAAGATGAATTGAAGCAAGTGATTCTGAAAGTATTCTAATGTTACCATTTGACTTAGAGTTTAAGGATAATTTATTTGAGTTAATTGGGTTTTTTTCAATTTCATTCTAAGCTTTTGCTATAGGTGTTGTTCACTGAGTTTATGTATATTGCACCTGTATTTAATGTATCCTCCTATCCTATCCTTCTGTCCCCCACCCCCGCCCCAACATCAGGCCAGAACAGAAACACTATTTGCCACTCTTTAAATATAGAAAGGGAACAGGAGTGGTCAAATGCATTCCCTTCCCTTAGTTTGCCCTGGCTTATGAATGTTTCAACCCTCCTCCTCTTAACATCATTAAGTCTGCTAGGTGTTGTCATTTTTATAAAGTGCTTCCAACTTTATATGCAGATTCAGATCCTGGTTTAAAAATCTTAAGTCCATTTTAGTGTAACCATTAGAGACAGATATATAAAGACAGATCATGGATGAGGATGGAAGGGAAGGTGTGAGTGAATGAAAGTGGAAGTACACAGTGTCGTGGCTCACAATCCTTTATCCCCAGCCAAGGCATAGGCAACATTTCATCTACACATTCTTTTAGTACATTGCCTTATAATCAATATCGTGTGGCTATTTTTCATGATTTTCCCCCTAATGGCTGTATGCTATTTTCTGAATACAATCTATATCCACTAGAATTTGACTTTTAGCCGCTGATTTCAAATGAAGGGAAATGTCCCCAGCCCTCCTTGCTCCACTTGCAATACATAAATCAATCTGGATAAACTTCACGTTCTTCATGGCAAGCACAAAGATGCCACATATAGTCCTGTGCCTTAGTGTGTGCATAGGAAAATCACTGCCTATAAAGCAAGGCCGACCGAGTTCTTGTGGTCCTCTAGATGTTGCTGAATTATAGCTCTCAGGAGCTCCAGTCAGCAAGTTCAGTGGCGAGGAATGTGTAGAGTTCTATTTCAGCAGCCTTGGAGGGCCAGTGGTTCCCTCTCACTGATAGAAGCATGTTAAAACCAACAAAAAACTGTGAGGCAGTTGAGAAGAAAGCTGGTTGCTACTAGTGAAAGTATCAAATTGACAGCTTTCACTGCTAGGTCCCCATTCAAATCCGAAAGAATCTGAGGGGTAAATCAGGACCAGAGGCTGGAGTGCAGTGGATACAGACTGGTGATCTTAGCCCAGCAGCAGCCTTTGGGTGCAGAGAACTCTTAGCTATGTATGACTGCTGTTTATGTCAGGCACTATTCCTTGCAGTGTTTATATGGAATGATTTGCTGTTCTTGGGGGTTACAAAAAAAGTGGGTTTCTTTTTCTCCTCCTTCTCCTTATTTACATTCTATCATCACGCTTAAGAAAGAACTGGATATTTACAGAATTTTTCCCCCATCTTTTGTTGTAATTTTTAGGTGCTTCAGAGCTGAGCCCATTTTCAGATCCCAGGCAGTTTACAAGCATTTCATCCCTCACTGAGAGCCGCTTCTCCAACCCACGAATGCACTATCCAGCCACCTTCACTTATACACCGCCAGTCACTTCAGGCATGTCATTGGGTATGTCAGCCACCACTCATTACCACACCTACTTACCGCCACCTTATCCGGGCTCTTCCCAAAACCAAAGTGGACCATTCCAGACCAGCAGTACTCCATATCTCTACTATGGCACATCATCAGGATCATACCAGTTCCCCATGGTGCCGGGGGGAGACCGTTCCCCCTCCAGAATGCTTCCTCCCTGTACCACCACATCCAACGGCAGCACATTATTAAACCCTAACTTGCCTACCCAGAATGATGGTGTGGAGGCTGATGGAAGCCACAGCAGCTCCCCAACAGTCTTGAATTCTAGCGGCCGAATGGATGAGTCTGTCTGGAGGCCTTACTGAAATATAATCTGCGGGGCCTAAAATCGGTCAGACAGAAAGCAAACAAATAAACAAACAATTGTCAGCTGATTATAAAGTGCCTGTTTTTTTTTGTTTTTGTTTTTGAAATAGATTCTGTTGATATGTGCAACTGAGTAGCTGGGATGTTAACAGCTAATTATATGCATACGACATGAGACTGACTTTCCACATCATAGTTCCAGTCAATGTGGATCAAAGCACAGTTTGTTTTCCTCCTGGGAATGTTGTCTCGGCTTTATATTTTAAAATATAATGATCCAACCCCCCAAAGATGCCCATTCTGTCTAGACTCCTTTAAAAAAAAGCGAGTTCTTTTGCCAAGAGAGGAGACATGGACTCCTGCCAATTGTCAAGACAAAGCCTGTGCTTTATTTGTTGTTCAAATAAACAGAAGCATCTTGAACTTCAGGTACGGTTGCAGTCATACAATCTAGAGGACCCTTACGCATGCACAGTATAATTCACTCCGTGTGTTTGTGCACATAGAAAAAATGCTTCCATTTATACCAGAATATCTTCAGCTTATAGTCACTCCTCAGCCATCTTATCAAAGCCTTGCCTCTGATGAAAGAGAAAACTTTGGAAGTGCTTGGCTTTCTTCTGTTTTTTTTGCTGAAACAGCACCCTATAAGGTACCAAGACAAACTTGTTTGTTTTGCGTTATACACTTATGTGATTACCTTTGCCTTAGTCAAGTTAACCAAAAAAATTATTGGGGAAAAAAGTCCCCCAAACAAAACAAAACAAAACCCCACAAATTTCTAATTTCTTATGCAAGAAAAAAAAGAGAATGGCAATACAATATATCTTACTCAAACCAAAACAGTATCGGTAGTATGTGTGCGTGGCTATCTTGTTTTATTTTATTAAGTTATAAATGTGTACAAAATTGAGGTTATATGCAAAAAAAAAAAAAATGAATTGTCATATAATTTTAAAGAAATATTTATAATTATTTAATGATGTTTGGTCCCTTTAAGGTTTTTTTTATAATGTAATGATGTGTTGACCTCGGTCTCTAAAAATGTTTGTTGTTTTTAAATAATGGCAGCCTTTGACTGGTACAGAATCTCAAGGCCATGCATGAACTCTGAAAAGCAGTTCCAGTATAAACTCTCTGCAATATGTATTTTTTTTAAAAAAAATAATAATAATTAAATGCTTCCATCTCTAAAGAATTTGGGTATAATCGCTCATTGGCTTAAATTTATGAAGGAGATACTGCTTTAAATGTAACTGAATATTGGGTTGTCTTTTTAACCTGGCAAAAATTAACTGGAAACAGACTGAACAGGCATTATTCTGAATGCATTGCTCTGTAATCCCTCCAGGAGGTGGGCCCTAAAGGCCCACGAGCACTAGTCTGCTCATAGCACAGAGCCTTTCCTCTTTGCTCTCCCCAAGGCTGCCCTCTGCACTGCAAAAGCTTCATCCCTCAAGATGGGGGCCTTAGGAGGAGGGTTTCCTGTCAAGCAGAAGAGAGACATCACCTCTCTCCCACACAGTTTCAAACATACATTTATCTTATACACATATGTTAAGCCAGCTTCATCTGATGGAATTCAAAAGTTTTCCATGTTTCAATCAGCATTTGGGAAACAGTAAAACAGCCCTGCAACACCACAAGAACGGTTCTCCAAAACGTCAGCCAAATCAGCATCCACCCGCTTACCTGAAATCAGTAGCTTTTAGTATCAGCTGCTTGAGTAGTTGTTTTCTGTTTAAGAACTCTTAAACTAATTTTTCAGGACCTATATGTTGTGTTACAAGGCGTTGTGTTAAAGTGGAATGAGCACAAGTGAACCACTGCAGGGTCACTCTACAGTTCGATGCTGCTCCAGCATCTGGCAACATATAATAGCTGAAGGTTGATCACAGAAGACAAAGTCTTTATAAAGTCACCCACCGCTTTCCTAATTGAGAGACATGAATATTCCTGAAGCTCTTAAAATCAGCTATCTATCATTCACCAAACTCTGTTTTGCTGGTAAGCAAGCCAGATTAGTTCCTTGGCAAGTGTCTGTGTCCCCAAACATTCTGGAGTCTTTGAGAATTCTTATTTAGACTCTGGTGGACAGAAAAGCTCATTTGGCACTTTACATTGAAATCCAGCAACCTGTAGCTTTGTACACTTGCCTAAATGAAACAGGATGTGAATGAAAGTCAGGGAGTAGCAGAAGTCCTTTAAAAGGAGGTGTCACCTTCTTGAAATTCATTGTCTTTCCAGCCTCTACTCTGATCTCCTTTGCACTGTTTTTAGCCTCAGCTGCATGCAGCAAACAGTCTTTTCTGTGGACTGCAGTGCTGCTGAAACTAATGATAGTTAGATGGACTATCTTTTAAACGCCCGGTCAATAATAAAATGGTGAAACATTTTACACAATGCAGTTGGACAGCTTCAGCCTTATCACCTACTGATTGCTAAGGCAGCCCAACAGAATGATTCCACATTCCCATGAATTATTCCTGGCAACTTAATATAATTCATTTGCTCCTTAGGAAGAATTATTGGCCTTCTGAAGGTTATCTATCAAGTCCCCTTTTTATAAATAGGAGAGACTTTCCTGATGTGTAATTTTCTTTCAAAGATGGAAGTTGCTATTGATCCTATTTATTGTTTGTGGTAGCTTGAAGCATACCCTTGTCCATTGATTTTTATCTGTAAGATAAGTATGTTCATTTCAGCAGCACTTAAAAAGCCAGTGTCTGGTTACACATTTCAAGTTGTTTGGGAGTATTGTTGATTAAACAAACCAAAATAAGGACATGAATTGCCAGTGCAAACGCTGTTGTGTATTTAATAAAAGGTACTATATTTGTACATTATTTTTTATTGCTGAAAAGGCCTTTTAAAAGATATACTATATGCATCTTAAATAATTTTGTAGGGATATTTTTTGTGTTGCTACAGGGGCTGCAGGCAGCAACCCAAATGCATTTAAAAAGAAAGGAAGAAAGAAATACATTCTTGTACAATTCCAGTACTGCTTTATATTCCTGGATTTAATCCAGCATAGATCATTTTTTATATTTTGTTCTGTAGCTACAGTAATCTTTCTGTATCATAGTTTGGGATCATTTGGGATTAAAACTCCAGATTGCTCAGGTGTGCAGTTTTGTTTGTCCCAAAGCATGTCCAGTTCATGCCCTGGTACTGTTGACCACATCAATGAAGTGTTTTTCTTTACAGTTCAGATTAATCAATAATAATGCAAAAAAGAGAATAATAATGCAAAGAAGCACCTTTGATATAAGCACAAGGCCCTTCTCTAGTGTCTCTCATGCTTTAAGTTAAGCGTGCCTTTAAAAAAAAAAAAATTAGACCCAAGCACTCAGTAGGAAACATTTTTTATCAGTCTTGGATGATACCTAATGCCTTGATGGCATCAAGGGAAAAAATAATCTCAAAGTTTGAGCTTTACAGTTACTGTAACATTTCTCATGTATGTCACCATCTCTCCTTCAGAATTCATTTTCTTTTGAGGCAGGAAGGGAATGTCGGACGACATTGCATTATGGGCTGTAGTTAGAATCTCAAATCCAGAGGAAAAGCTGGTCCAGTTGATGGCGTCAGAACTGCTTGTGCAAGTGTGTCTTTACAGTGTCTGTACCAGAGATGTTTACCAAGTCTTTGTCCTTGGATAAAATACAGAATTCACTTCTAAACTTGGGTGTGGCAGATCAAGGGTTTATTGCTACAAATTAGGCACTAGCCCATGTGAAACCCTTTGACACACCATCTAGGAAGGTGCTCCATTGAATCCGACCCTAAGCTAGCAGTCCCTGGGCATGGATAGGCTAGCCATGATCTCCTCCCTTCTCTCCAGGCTTCGCCAAGGAGGGTTTTTTGCACTGTCAGGTTTGCCAGATAATATGCCCTCCCCTCTTGCTGGAGCCTCCATTTCAGGAGGGTGGTGAGGGCATGCATCAGGAGTCCAAGAAAAGCCATGAACAAAAGCAATAATTTAAACCTAAATAAAAATAAACCAAAGGAAATATTGTTTTCTAAGAGCTTTATTTCTGTAATAACATTTCATTTCAGTATGTTTGACCTGTCATTTAGCCATTTATGTTTGTTGCAATATTTTTACATAGATCAGCCAGAAATCATATTTTACAGTAAGTTTTCTTTCCTAGGTACACTAAGCAACATTCCACAGTATTTTTTTTGCTTAAATATGCTTTACCAGTCTTGAATTTCTGCTGGAGCAAAATATTTGTAGCATTTCCTGTAAATACAAGCTTTAATTTCTTTCATTTTCCCCCAATTGCTGTTGTCCAAGAATTGCTTTCCATGCACAGATTGTACAAACACATTCTTTTTTTTTTTTTTTGTGCCGCAGACAGCGATTGTGGAAGGGAAGGGTTTACTTTATCTTCAAAGGGACTGTGTGTATTGTATGTTGCAACTGTAAATTGAATTTGTTTGGCATTCTCTCATGATTGTAATATTAATTTTGAGGTTTGAATCTCATTTTCAATAAAGTGGCTTTTTTGTTAATGTTGTTCCTTGCTTCTTTGTCTTCTGCTGCATCTCCATAATTATCTCGTTCATATTTGTAAATAGACTAGAGCTGACTGGAGCCAGAGTATGTTGAAATACCAAACTGCCCATCGAGAGCTCCTTTAACTTCTGCAGGATAGAAGCTACTATTTTAAAACAGCACACTCCTAATCTTAAGCATAGTTAGATGAAATTCCAAGGATCCCTGGTTAATGGTGCACATCTAATGTTGCATCATGGCCTGTGTCAAAATAAGAGCTTATTTTAACAAACGGAAAAATCAGAGGTGAGGTATTCAACATTCGTGCTGTGGAGGAAGAAGTAGAAAGAAAGCAAGGACAGTGGGAGGCAACCATTCTCTCAAATAATATCTGTATGGTATGTTCTACATTTGAGTCATTAACACAGTCAGAAATGGTTTCCTTTTTTCTTTCTTTTCTTTCCTTTTTTTTTTTTTTAAAGCAAGGGTATAGGAAAAAAAAGTCAGCTTGACAGTTTCACCAAGGCCTTATTATTTGGCCTGATGTCACAGTTTTTGTGACCAAGCTGTGGAGAAATGAAAGGTTGGAGGTAGGCTCATGGCATACATTTATCTTGCATATCTGTAACCAAAAGAGAAAAAAAGCCCCACTCTTATTCAGACTATTTTTCATGATAGCCTCCTGTTGACATCAGTATTCATGTAGCAGTTTAGATTCTTCTAAGAAACCAGTGCATAAGCTGTTGGCCACAAAGCAAGGACTGTTTTATACTGTTTGCAGGGAAACAGTAATGGATATTATACTTCTTTCATAAGTAAAACAAACTTACAGAAGGAGGGACTTTGGTGTATTTTAAGATCCCAAATAATCTTAAATGCTGACAATAGTACTCATTTGCTTTTTCGTGAGGCTGATTTCAAGAAATTTCCTAACTTCCCCCCTTCCAACAAACTGAGCCATCTGTTTGAAATGAGAGATTCACAAATGTAGCCCACTTCTGTTTGTAAGATTTGGGTTTAATTAGTAGCAACTTCCTGGGTTGTTAACAGCCCTTTTTTCCATGTCATCTTTGGACTGCTGTCCAGTGCAGCTACATGCATGACCTTGTTTAGTGCATACAAGAAACATATGCCCCCAACTCCCAGCAGGCCTAGCTGGTTGGCCAATGGAGAGAGGTGCTGGGAGCGGCAGTTTAACAATACGTAAAGAGCCACAGGGTCCCCATCTATGCTAAGACTTATAAGATTGCAGGGTTATTGTTTTTTTTCAGTAAATGCGATTTTTTTCTAATGACAAGCAGTATAGACCTGTCTTTAATAAATAAATAATAATCCTAAAGACACTGAAGAGGTTAATCTCAATATGATGGTACATAA